TTCCGGGGCCTCATCTCAGACCTACTGAATCAGCCACCGTGTGGGTGGGAGCAGCAATCTGCATTGACGAGCCTTCCTGGTGACTCTGGTGCATCCCATGTCTGAGAGAGAACCATGGGTCTGAGACAATTTCCCTGACCAGGGATTAACGGGAGCAGGGGCACGTGACTCGATTCTGGTGAGGTACAGACTGCTAAGTGTCCCCCAGTATGCATGCTCCCTTTTTTCCAGAAAGGAGTTTATAGCTAGGCCCTCGGCCACTTAGAATAAGACATTTCCCAGCCTCCTTTGCAGCTGGGTGTGGCCACAGAACCAAGTTCTGGCCAATGAGATGGGACCAGTAGAACTTTGTGCGACTCCCAGGTCATCTCTTTCAAAAGGAAGGGAGCTTGTTCTCTGTGCCTGTGTGCAGAGCCATCTTGCAGTGAGGGCAAAACCACAGTGAGTAGAGCAACAAGACAGGGAGCGCCAGGGTCTTGGAAACATGGCGCTGCCATACCCAGCCTGGACTGCTTCTGCCTCGACTGTTATGTGAAGAAGAGATAAACATCTCTCCTGTTTAGGCCACTGTTATTTGGGTCTTTGATACAGCTAACGTACATCCTGGCTAATGCATTGGGCCCCTAGGTTCTTAAGGGAAGTCACCTGAAGAGTCTCTGGGAAAGGTTTTCCTCCACGATAAAAAGACACACAAGAAGGGAAACCCTTGGCCCCAACTCCCACAGCCCCTGCTGCCGTCTTGCCGGCTGCGTGAGTCAGCTCGGGCTGCTGTAACAAAATGCCACAGACCAGGAGGCTTAAACAACAAATTTATTTTCTCTCGGTTCTGGAGGCTAGAAGTCCAAGATCAAGGTGTTGGCAGGGTTGGTTTCTCCTGCGGCCTCGTTCCTTGGCTTGCAGACAGCTGCCTTCTCCCCGTGTCCCCGTGTGGCCTTTCCTCTGGGCACCAGCGCCCTGGTGTCTCTGTGTGTCCAAATTTCCTGCTCTTGTAAGGCGACCGGCAAAATTGGATTAAGGCTCGTCCCAACAGCCTCATTTTAACTGAATCACCTTTTTAAAGGCCCTATCTCAAAATACTCTTACATTCTGAGGTCCTGGGGTTTAGGACTTCAATAATAAAAATGGGGAGGGGACACACTTCAGCCCATGACCCCAGCAAGGTAGAAAATATAAGGAACTTGATGCCACATTGAGCTGCTCAATTAACTAGCCCTGAAAGCAAACATCAGACTTCTTGTCTTGAAAGGGACTAAATTGTCCTTCTTGTCTAAGCCACATTTGGTGGGGGCATCTGTTCCTTGCAGCCAGAACTCAGGTGTTTGCTCAAGCTGTTCCCTCTGCCTACAATAACCTTCCTTCCATTCACCCTTCAACTTCTGTCTTGAATGCCAAGGCCACGTGGCAAATGGCTTCTGATCCTGCCTTCCCCATACAAGTGGCTTCCCTTATATCAGAGTTCTCTGCTTATGTGTCTTTCTCTTTAACCAGGCCAGGGCCAGCATATGCACTGTCCACCTGCTGCCACTTTCCTTCCTCCTGCCATTGGCAGGAGGCAGCCATTGATAATCAATCCCTTTTTCCCCGCTGGGAGTAGACCTGGTTTTTATAATCCTCTACACAGCCCTCCAGGCAGCTCCTGCCAATCAACTGGAGGTGGCTCAAAAGAGATGAATTTTATCTGCCACAACTGTTAAGACTTTGAGAGCAGGGACTTTGTTTGCTCATCTCTTTTTTGACTCATAAGATAATTTTAATAATATAAGTTATCATTGTATAATTCTGTTTCCATTTAATCCCTGCAGCAGCCTTCGGAGGCAGGCACCGTGATTATCCTGCTTTTGACACGAGGGCTCTGAAAGATGAGGTAACTTGTTCAAGGTCATATACATTTGAACCTAGGTCCCCCTGTCTCTGTCTTCTTCCACTGGTTTCTATTTTTTTTAAATTTTTACTTCCCACTATGCTGAGGATCCTTCCACTGGCATTTCCTAAGCATTTCATCTGTTCATGACTGCACTGCAGCGAATTCGCAGATAGCTTTCTATTTCCAGTGGCATTCGAAACACCTATTGTCCTATTTGGGATCCCCAGCCGTTCAGTGATGTTTGGAGTTAGTCCAGGAGTACTGTAAGTTCCCATTTTATAGATAGGGAAACTGAGGCCCAGAGAGAAGAAAAGGCTGCAAAAGCCAGTCATGCAGGCGCCAGAGCAAGAGACCACATTTCATGCCCTGCTACCACTCCAAAAGTGGGAATTCTAGACTGGCTCGAGGGGTTAAGTGGAAGTTTTCATACCCAGAGCAAGGTCGGGGATTGGCTCACGTGTCCTAGCCTCTTCCTGTTGGCCCGGCAGGCTGAGTGGAGATCTCGCTTCCTGTATTTGGGAGGTGGCCGGCTGGCAGGATGTAGGGGAGCAGGAGACAGTGTGGTGAGAGCCAGCACTAAGCAGCCTGGGCCATTTCCCCTCAGAGGGAGAGAGGGACGGAGGGCAGGAGGGAGGGCGGGCTAGTGGCTGGGAGTTTCCTGTAGCTCTCACACCCAGAGGCAATGGGGACCTCTGACCCTCCCCACAATGGCACTGACCTGGCATTCAAAAAAAACCTCTCAAAACAATCCAATGTATTGGCACCTGCACCTTACAATTTCCAACTGCTTCCTCATCTGTGGCCTGTGTCCTCCTTGGCACACCTCCGACTAGCAAGGCAGGCATTTGGGCATCATTGTTCCCACTGGAAAGACAAGAAAGCTGAGGCCAAGAGAGGTTGCAAAGAGCAACCTGGCCTGGGTCACACAGCAAATCAGTTCCAGAGCTTGGGCCTCCAGAGCCTATGTGTCATGGCAAGGTGTGGATGGGCCGCTCGGAACCTTTCCGGCTGTCCTGGGCAGGGCACGCAGAATGCATAGGTCCTGGAGGTCAGGAACACTAGCCTTCCGGTCCAGACCAGCCAGAAACCCCAGGTCCTCCTCTTATTCACTGTGTGACTGGCTTGAGCCACTCTCTGCACTTGAGCCTCAGTGTTTAAAATCTGTATAATAGGAATAATAATGATACCCCCAAATCGTGAGGAATAAGTGAGATGAAACACACAAAGTGTTCAGCACAAAGGTGGTCTTGCCTCTCTAATATTCTCCTGAGAGAGTAAAACAGACTAGGATTTTGTAAAGTTGTCAGAATCAAAATGGAGTCACTAATGTTAAGAAAACCTTGACAAGTAGAGTGACAGAAGGCCATAAAGAGAGGGTTCCAGGCCGGGTGTGGTGGCTCACGCCTGTAATCCTAGCACTCTGGGAGGCCGAGGCGGGCGGATTACTCAAGGTCAGGAGTTCGAAATCAGCCTGAGCAAGAGTGAGACCCCATCTCTACTACAAATAGAAATAAATTAATTGGCCAACTAATATATACAGAAAAAATTAGCCAGGCATGGTGGCACATGCCTGTAGTCCCAGCTACTCGGGAGGCTGAGGCAACAGGATTGCTTGAGCCTAGGAATTTGAGGTTGCCGTGAGCTAGGCTGATGCCACGGCACTCACTCTAGCCTGGGCAACAAAGCAAGACTCTGTCTCAAAAAAAAGAGAGAGGGTTCTCACACAGGCATGCCTGATAGCAAAGAAAGACTGTACAAAAAATCACAACCTTGCACAAAGACCGTAGCAACCTACACACAAAATAATACTTTTACAAGGATACTGGCCCAGCAACTGCTTGTCCTACCTTGGACTGGCGTCACACTTGTTATTGATCTTTGTAGCCAAGGACAATTATTGCAAAACAATCATGGAATCCTCCTTATTTTTCCTTGAAAAACCTTTGTTTTCCTTTACCTCCCTGAATATGCACATAGTTCACCTTAATGTGAGTATTCCCATTGCAATGCTTTATCCCCAAATAAACAGCTTTTCTTTCATTTATTTATTTATTTTTGAGATAGGGTCTTGCTCTGTCTCTCAGGCTGTAGTGCAGTGGCATCATTGTAGCTCACTTCAATCTCAAACTCCTGGGCTCAAGCAATCATCCTGCCTCAGCCTCCCAAGTAGCTGGGACTACAGGCATGCACCACTATACCTAGCTATTTTTTTCTATTTTTTGTAGAGATGGAGTCTCTTGCTCAAGCTGGTCTTGAACTTCTGGCCTCAAGAGATACTCCCACCTTGGCCTCCAAAAGTGCTAGGATTACAGATGTGAATCACTGCACCCAGCCCAGCTTTTCTTTTGGAGAGCCTCTCTCTGTCATTTAGGTTGACAACCCATAGACTGTAAACAGTTTTCATTGAGCACTTACTACATACCAAGAGCTTTTGTAAGTGTGTTTAATCTTTACAAGGCCACTATGAGGTCAAACTAGTATTATGCCTATTTTACAGATGAGAAAATCTAGGCACAGCTGAGTAAGGAACTTCCCTAAGGTCATAACCCTAGTAAGTGGCAAAGCCAGGACTCAAACTCAGGCAGCCTGTCTCCAAAGCCCATGCATACTGCCTCCCTTAATAGTAATGATTAATTTTTTTAAATCATAGCTTGCTTAGACACAGTACTCTATAGTTGACGAAGCACCTTCCATCCACTTTTTTATTCATTTCTCACCACAGCCCAAGGAGGAAGGCAATGCTTACTCCCACTTTTAGAGGGATAGTGGGGAGGGGGAAACAGGCTCCGAAAGGGACAACTGACTTGCCTTGCCAAGGTCAGACAGCAAGGTCAGTGGCAGAAGTGGGGCTGGAATTTGGAATTTTCCAAATTAATGACTCTGAATATGGGGGTTCCTTCCACAGCCTCACCCAGCTCCCAAACCCCCTCAGCAGCAGATCTTCTGGCTGGAGGCCTTGAGTATTTCTCCCCAAGTCCGTTGTTCTGCCTGGGCTCCCACCGTTCAGCTGTAGGGGCCCAAGGCTGCGTCCTTCACCACCACCCCCACCGGCTGGGAGGGGCAGGAACTCCAGGGCTGGTGGAGTTTCCGACCAGGCAGGAAAAAGAACAAAGGAACTGGGATGGGGGGGTGGAGGGGGTGGCCAGGAGGGTGGCAGGAGCAGAGGGGACGCTTCACCATGGAATATGAAGTCAAGAAAGGGAAGAAGGTAGGTGGGAGGTTGGGAGGGACACAGGGTAGGGAAATGTCCCCAAAGTTGAGGAGGGGACAATAGGAGGGGGGGGTAGCAAGTGGCATAAGCAGGGCCTTTCTTCTTATTTGGAAAGATCTTCCTTCCCACTCTTAGGCAGCCAGACATTTGGGCTCTAAACTCCCTTACTTGCTTCTCCACTCTCCATGGCCTCTGCCATCCCTGGAATGGACAGACAGGGACCCTCCCTGAAACTGGCCAGGCAGAGTCAGTTTGGGAGAAACTACAACCTGCTTCCCTGGTGTTCCCTTCCTGCAGCTTCTCAGACACCTTGCTGACCCTCCTCCTGCTCCCCACAGCCGCAGACAGGACAATTCTGTGCTAGGAGGTTGCCTGTGCAGGCTTGAGTTCTCACCTGTCCTCACTCTGCCCCTCCCTATCTTTACACAAGGGCCTCAGGCCAGGATCAGTCCCTGTCCCTCCCCCCACCCCACGTTTTCTAATATGCTTCTCTGGACATCTTACTGGTTGTCTTTGGGGTTCAGGGAACTGCTCAGATTCCAACTTCCACCCCACCCGGCTCCTCACATACCCCTCTTCTCCCAAGAAATCTGGGTATAGGCTGATCCAAAAGGTGCCCACATGAATCATGTAGGGCTCAGAAGGAGCCAAGACACACGTGCACGTGCACGTTCTCCCTTTGTTCATCTTTTCAGTAGACATTTATTGAGCACCTACTGTGTGCCAGGCACTGTGCCTGGTGCTGGTGATGACGCAGTGGTGAGCAAAGTCAGGCAAGGACCCTGCTCCCTCCCTAGACCTCACAGTCTAGTGGGGGAAGCAACTATTGGTTTTTCTAAAAAGGCAATAAATAATAATTGCATTGTAAAATTGCATAAAAGGCCCCATACTCAGTACTGGAAGACAGAATATTAGAGTGCCCAGCCCTGTACTGGTCAGTTTGTATTGGGAGCTGATGGGTGGGTGGAAGGACAGGGGGTAGGGAAGCGTGTTTTGGGCAGAGGAACAGCATGTGCAAATGGGTGGGGAGGAATGTAGCAATAGGAAGGACGGAAAGATGGCTGCGCTGCAGGGGGTGAGAGGGAGGGGGATGAGGCTGGAGAGGAGGGTAGGGCCACAGACAAAATGTTCACACACACTCACACCTGCAAGACAAAGTCCCAGCTCCACAGCCCTCATTCAAGGCTCATCTCGTAACTCAGCCATGACAGACGGCACATAGCTTCTCCAGAGTCACCCTCGCCAGCCTTTGAAGCCACCAGGATTTTGCACATACCATGCCCTCTGCTCAGCATGCCTTCTCCCAGATAGTGTTCTTTCATTTCTCAGAGCTTTTATCCAGGCTCCACGACGCCGGTTCTAAAACGAACTGAGCATGTGTCAGAATCACCCAAAGGGTTTGTTAAAAAAACACACATCATTGGGTCTCACCCCCAGTGTCTGAGCCAATAGGTCTGGGATCAAAGTCAAGAATTTGCATTTCTGATACACCCCCCCCCCAGGTGATGCTGATGCTGCTGGCTGTGGGGACCACACTTTGAGAACTGCTGGTTTAGATCCCGGCTGCTCAGAGTTTGGTAGAAATGCCGAATCTCAGCCCCTAACTTGGACCTACTGAATCAGAACTCATGGAAAACACAGAAAAGTTTGTGACTCACTAGTTTAGGTCATTTATCACAAGCCCTGGAGGCAAGCATGGGGTCCTGGTCTCCACTGAATCCTCAGCATCCAGCACAGGGCCCAGCCATATGGGTATGAATAAGTGTTTACTGAATGAATAATTTACTGAGTGAACAATTGTGAGCTTTTGTGGACTTGTGGACTGTCTGCTTATCCAAACTAGAAGGTGAGGGCAGTGGGGTTTTTGCTCACATTTGTCTTGTCTCACTGCAAGAGTTAAATAATCAGACCACACATTCTACACAGTGGTTTTCAGCTGAGCTCCCTTTTGAAATTACCTAAGGAGGCTTTTTTAAGAGATAGGGTCTTGTTCTGTCACCCAGGCTGGAGTGCAGTGTCCCAATCGTCCTGCCTCAGCCTCCCAAGGAGCTAGGACTAATCACCATGCTCAGCTCTAAGGAGGCTTTAAAAATCTTGATGCCTGGGTCCCAGTCCCAGAATTTCTGATTCAATTGGTCTGGGGTGTAGCTTGGACATCTGAAGTTTTAAAAGCTCCCCAGGTGGTTCTAAAGTACAGCCAGGGTTGGGCACAATGGCTCTGAAGTACCATTCTCACACTTGAGCATGTGTCAGAATCACCTGGAGGGGTGGTTAAACCTGCCTGCCTGCTCAGCCCTACTTCCAGAGTCTCTGAACAGCGGGTCTGGGATGGAGCCCAGAAATCTGCATTTCTCTCAATTCCCAGGTGGTGATGCTCCTGCTGCTGGTTCAGGAGCCACATGTTGAGAGCTGTTGCTCTAGATCAGTGCTCTGCTCCATCTTTCTTTTGAGATTTAGATTCTATTGGTTTAGAGTAGGGCCCTGGAATTTGCATCTTAAACCTTGATCCAGGCCATTTTTATGCAGATGCCCCTGGATTATACTTAAATTTACTTTTTATCTTTAACTTTTAGGAAAGCACAGACAGAGCCTAACAAACACCTGTGCACCCACCACACAGCCACACTGAATCCTAATATTTTTCTGTATTCACCCCAACCTAGACCCATTCCATAAACCTGGTTGGAGGGGCTATACTCACCTGGGTGTTTAGAATGAAGGGTTTGGACCCATACTGCTCAAGGTGAACTACTGGTTGCATCACTACTACCTATCAGACAGTTCCCTCTCTGGGGTTAGTTTTTCCATCTGTAAAATGGGAATTGCAGAGGTACCCCTTCGGCAGAGTTTTTGGGAGAACTAAATTAGGTAATATAAGTAAAAGTGAGGATGGTAAGTGCTCATTATGACCGTCATTCCCCTGTCCTCCCCCAGGGCTTTGTGTCCCCCATCCGAAGGCTGGTGTTCCCCAAGGCCGGGCGCCGGGCGGCCTTCAGAAGCAGTGTGAGCCGCCGGCCCCTGCACTCGATGCCCCTGTATCCCCCTGACTACCTCATCGACCCCCAGATTCTGCTGTGTGACTACCTGGAGAAGGAGGTCAAGGTGCGTGTGGGATGAGGAAGGGTGGGAACAATCTTGGGCTGAGGAGAGACCTCACCTCCCCTGGACACCAACCCCTGGCCAGCCCTGTCTCCCACAGGGGAAGTCGTGGCTCATAGGAATGAGGCCTGAGTTCATGTCAGCCTCGCCCCTGCCTTATGCTATGTATGGGCAGCAGGTGACTGCCAGCCACTGAGCCTCGGTGTTCCCATCTCAGCAAGGGGCTCAACAGCTGCCCCCATGGGAGAGTGGATGGCAGAGCATTCTGTGCACCCCAAAGCCCTATCTTCTGTCAACCTAAACAACAAACAGAGAGGGAGACCCTCAAAAAGGAAATGTTTATTCAGGAATAAGTGTTCAGAAAAATAAAGGAAGACGAATGCTTTTAAAGGAAAAGTGAGGAGGACTGCCTAATTGTTTTGAGATGACCATCCTTGGCTATAAGGATCAATAACAAGGGTGGTGCCAGTTCCAGGTTGGACAGGCAGTTGTTGGGCAGATGTCCTTGCAGAAGCATTTTTGTATGTGCAAGCTTATGATGGCCTCTGTGCAAAGTTGTGGTTTTTGCAGTTTTTTTGTGATAGTTCTTATCATCAGTCATTAGTGCATGAGAACTCTTGCTTCGTGGCCTTCCCTGGCTCTATTTGCCAGGTTTTTAAAAACACAAGTGACTCCATTTTGATTCTGACAACTTTCACACTTCCCTAGAGATTTTACCACAGTGACCTTGTTGTTGCTCAGATGGTATCCAGGTTAACAGCAAACCACAAAGGACTTTGACCATTCGAGAGCTTTACTTCTATTTCATGAACACCACGAAGGAGTAGCCAGGGATCCTCATCTAGCCTAGAAAGATGATGGGGGAAGGGTTATCAGATTTAGCAAACAACAAGCCGCCTAAATTTGAATTTCAGGTAAGTAAGTAATACTTTCTTAACATAAATATGTCTCAAATATTTCAGGGGACTAAAAGTACTAAAAATCTTTTTAAAAATTTTGTTGTTTATCTGAAATTCAGGTCTAACTAGCATCCTATATTTTATCTGGCAACCCTATACAGAACGAAAAGCTAACAAATAAGTCCACTTAAAAATTAGGGAATGACATTTCATAGAGAATAAAAAGAAAAGGTTTGATTGGTGGAGTTCACCTAGAAGAATACAACTAAAAATAATGGAAAGAGTTATTCTTATACTGAATAACATTTAAATGATAACATTAGACTGTAATGGAGAATGAATAAAAAATTTATTTAGAGCATGATTTTTCTGACAAAATGATCTACTGATTTGACATAACATCCTTCCCTTTGCATTTGACTTCTGCAACAAGACCATAAAGAGGGCAAGTGATTTGCAATCAGTTTGACCATGATACTTGCGGTGGAGAGAGCTACTCAGTTCAGAGGAAATTCACAGGTGGTCAGTTCTTTCAAGTTATTATAGTGACTTTTGCTTCCCTATGGAATCTTATAGCTAAATGACTATGTGTTAAGGTAATGTAAAGTAGCAGTTGAGAGTATGGGCTCTGGCAGGTGGAGTCCAGTTTTACCCTTTTAGCTATATAATCCTGGGCAAGTTTTTTATCCTTAAAGCAAGGATGAATGACTACATAGAAAACGCTCAGAACTGTGCCTGGCTTCTATTATGGGATCAGTAAAATTTAACATCAGGTTATTATTAATTCAGATATTTCTATCTCAATCTATCTGCACTGCATCAGTGAGGATGCCAGGGTACTCCAGGGTTTCAGAGTGATCTTTCTGTGCCCTTGTCCCTCCTGGTTTCCCATCCAGTTCTTGGGCCACCTCACCTGGGTGACTTCCTCACTGAACCCCTCCAGTCGGGACGAGCTCCTGCAGCTTCTGGACACGGCCAGGGTAAGGCTCTGGGGAAGGAGGAGGGCAGGGTCTCGTCCCCTTCTCCCTCTTCTACCCACGCGGCCGGGGACTCAGGAGATCCGAACCTCTCTGCAGCAGCTAAAGGAGCTGCCGCTGAAGACCACGGCGGAGCAGGACAGCATCCTGAGCTTGTCTGCCCGCTGTCTGCTGCTCACCTGGCGGGACAACGAGGAGCTCATCCTGCGTATCCCCACGCACGAAATCGCCGCGGCCTCCTACCTGCAGGACGACGCGCTGCACCTGCTAGTGCTTAAGACCGGTACAGCTGGCGAGGGCGGCCCGGAGCGGCCAGGGGAAGAGAAATAGCCCAACACCTGGTCTGGGAGAATGGGCGTGGCCTGCGGCAGGGGCGTGGCCTGAGGCTGGGTGAGGGGCGGTGGAAAAGGCCTGACCGCACTACTCTGAGACCAGGGGCGGAGTCTGGATTGGGGGCGTGGCCATGTGCTCGGGGGCGGAGCTCCTGGTGGGAGATGTCAGACACGCCAAGCTAGGGGCGGGGCCCGAGTCAGGGGCGGGGCCCGAGTCAGGGGCGGGGCCCGAGTCAGGGGCGGGGCCCGAGTCAGGGGCGGGGCCCGAGTCAGGGGCGGGGCTGAGGGCAGGGGCGGGGAGGAGTCGGCATCCAAGGCGTGGCGCCCCTGAAACCTGGGACAGGGTGCGAGTTGAGGCTACAGAGGGAGGGGACAGCCTGCCCACCACCCTCGGGTCAGAGAGCAGGTGTGAGACGAGGGCTAGGCAGTGGGTCCAGGAGGGTCGGACACCGCCGGCCACACCGGGCCAGGGGCGGAGTCAAAAGTAGGAGCGGAGCCTGAGGGCGGGGGCGGGGCCGAAAGTGCACCCGCGGAGTGGGGCGGGGGTGGCCGCACTGCTTTGAAGCCGGCTGGGGGGCCTAGGCCGGGGGCGGCGGGACCCCAGAGAGGCGGGGCCCGGTCCTCCAGAGGGCCTCGGTAGGGTTCTCAGCCCGGATCTTCGGCGGCTGACGCTCCCCGGACTCCCCTAGGTCTGGGCGTGGACCCGGTGCCGGCCGGCGTGGACGCCAGCCCTGGGGGCGCGGGGCGAGACCCGGGCCCGCCGGGCGCGGCGCCCGAGAAGCGGCGGGTGGGCACTGCGGAGCGGCGCCACACCATCTGCAGCCTGGACTGGCGCATGGCGTGGGGCGGCGGCGCCGAGCCCGGCCGCGGGCGGCGGCGGCGGCGGCAGCCTGGAGCGCCAGCGCGCGGGGGCGCGGGGCGTCGGGCAGCTGGGAGCGCCGGCAGACGTTCAGCGGCAGCTGGGAGGCGGCGGCCCGGGCCGGCGGCGCGGCGGCGGCAGGGGCCAAGCGGCGGCCAAGCTGGGAGCGGAGGCAGGCGGGCGGCGGCGGTGGCAGCTGGGAGCGGCGCCACCCGGGCCCCAACCCGCTCGACCCTCAGGACCCCAGCCCCGATGCCTACTGCAACCTGGTCATCCTGGCTGTGGCCAACAGGGTGAGCCCGAGGGCACCCCACGCTCCAAAGTCCTGCCCGCGGGATGCTGCTTCTCCTGTCTCTCCCGCCCGGTCCCCGCGCCATTCACGAGGGTCCTGGTCTGCCCCCGCCTTTTCCCTTCTCCCTCCTGGGCTCCTCCCAGTCGCCCCTTTGACGCCTAAGGCCTTCTAAACTCCAGCCCTGGACACTTCCAGGACGTCTCTCCCGACTCCCCCAGTGGGGCCTCACAATAGCCCAAACAGACTCGACCTAACCCCTCCCCCAGCCCAGCTCCTTCTCCAGCGTGGTCAGGGTTAGCACCACCACAGTGACAATCAGAGCACATTAATCACCAGCATGAATTGAGTGCCAACTCATGCCAGACACGGACAGCTTCAATCCCTTGCATTCTCACAGCAACCCCTAGAGGTAAATAGTACAACTATTGTATCCCAGTTCTACAGAGAAGGAAACTGAGATCCAAAGGTTAAGTAAGGTGGGCAAGGTCACACAGGAAGCAGGTAGCGCTTTTTCGAACCACGAAGGTCAGAGCCGGTACTCATGGTAACTAAGGTGGTCACCCAGGGCAGAAGGCTTCCTGCCATTCTTGCCTCTCCTCCCCTCCCCCATCTTCCATATCACTCTGCTTTTATTCATCTGACCGTGTTCATTCAGTGCTAGGCATTGGGCTAGTGCTCCCCATACAGAGGCCAACAAGACATTTGGTGTCCCCCTTACGGAGCTCACAGTCCAGCAGACATCTTCAAGCTCTGAGCCTTCTAAGCTTTTCCTCTGACCCCAAGCCACCACCTCCCTCTGTATATAAACAGTGGTGAAAAATTAGACATGGTGCCTGTCTAGAGAGAGAGAGACGGATGATAACCAGTAAACTCAGACACTGCAGCCGTCTCCCTGCCCTTGAAACACTCTCTTACTCTGCTTCCGGCTCCACATCCTCCCACCTCTCTGGCTCCTCCTCAGAAGCTGGATCCTCCTCTTCTCTCCAGACTCTAAAAGTTGGAGTGTCCAGGCTTAGTCCTTGGTCCCCCTCCCTCCTTTATCTACTCGTTTCTAAGTGATCTCTAGTCTCATGGCTTTTAAGACACTGCAAACTCCCCAAATTTCATCTCTCACCAGATCTCTACCCAGCCTCTCCATTGGAAGGTCTAATGACCATTTCAAACCTAACACGCTGAAAACTGAGCCCCAGTCTTCCCCCCTAAACCTGCTCCTCCCTTGGTTCCCCGTCTCTGTTAGTTGACATTATGTTAACTCCATCCTTATGTTGCAGTGATTCTTGGCTCCCCACCCCTTTCCATCTCTCTCTTTCCCTCTCCCTTTCTCTCTCTCCCTCTCTCACCTCCCTCGATCCATATTCATTCCGTCAATAAGTCCTCTTACTTCTTCCCACCCTCCACCATCCCCACCCAGCTCTGTGCCCCATTCTCTCATCTGGACCACGTAGTCACCCCCTCACTGGTTCACCCCTTGCATACAATCTGTTCCCCTAAGCAGACAGAGTATTCCTGTTAACATGTAAGTCACATCCTGTCACTGCTCTAAATCTTCCAACGCTCCCCTTTTCACTTACAGTGAAAGCTAACATCCTGACAGTTGTTTACAAGGCCACCTACAGCTGCCACACCCATTTCCTCTCCACCTCAATCTTTCTACTCTCCCCTTTTATTCAATCCACTCCCACCCGACTGACCTTGTAGAATGCAAGAGGCCTGTGTGTTCTGGATGGTTCACTGTGGCACCCCCAGCACCTAGAACAGGTGCTAGTACCTAGCACCTGGCATGTAACAGGTGCTCAATAAGTATCTGTTGAATGAGTGGATGAGCTAATGCAAATCGAATCATTATACCTTGCCTTGGGGACCTAGAGGAAAACAAGCAGTTTGCAGTGATGGAGAATGGGGGAGGAGATCCATTTCAATAGGGAAAGTGAGTTTGTGCCATTTAAAATGAAATGTGAAGGAGAGCAAGGAGTCAGCAGAGTGAAGAGCCTGGAAACAGATTCCATACAAAGGCAACAGTGACACCCCTGGAATGTGAGAGCTTTGGGGTACAGAGCCTGGCCCAGCCCCTGCCATGCAATAGGAATAAATGAGAATTTGTGGAATGAGTAAATAAGAGTTGCTTTCCAGGCATGTCTGAGCCTCTAACCTCCTATCTGAGACATGCTGGTCCCAAGGAGGGTACAGGAGTTGGAGATGAAAAACTTGGATGCTAACTAAAAGCGTGAACCTGCTGTGTGAGCCTGTGCAAGTCACTTAGCCACTCTAAGCCTCAGTGTCTTTAACTATAAAATAAGGATCATCTCGTCCCTGTCCGCTTATTTTTTTATTTTTATTTTTTTACAAAGTCTCACTCTGTTGCCCAGGCTAGAGTGCCGTGGCATCAGCCTAGCTCACAGCAACCTCAAACTCCTGGGCTCAAGCGATCCTCCTGCTTCAGCCTCCAGAGTATCTCGGACTACAGGCATGTGCCACCACACCTGGCTAATTTTTTGCATATATTTTCAGTTGGCCAATTAATTTGTTTCCATTTTTAGTAGAGACAGGGTCTGGCTCTTGCTCAGGCTGGTTTCAAACTCCTGACCTTGAGTGATCCTCCTGCCTTGTCCTCCCAGAGTGCTAGGATTACAGCAGACATGAGTCACTGTGCCTGGCCTTCCCTGTCCATTTTGTGGGGTTATTGTAAGGCTCAATCCTGGTTTAATGATTAGTGCACCCTTACTATCCCAAAATGCCTATCTTGAGTTAGATTTTAATTTATACCTTGAGCTTTTTTAGAGACACAATATGGGAACAGCTTCATGAAGATGGTCTCTTCATCAGTTATTGTCTGTGTGTCTTGCTTAAAGACATTTCTCTTCAGATTTGCAATCTCAAAAACAATTCACCCAAGAACTTGAACTCTTTGCTTCTACCACAGACTGAAGTTTATGTATTTATCCTGCTTCCATTTTTGTACTGGATGCCAGGAAGCTCATATCTAAATACAGCAGTTGAGCCTAAAAATTTTGATACATTTAATTATTTCTCCTCCTACTAGATATAGAACTGGATTCTAGTCCTGGCTAATCACTTTCCCTCTCTGGGCCTCAGCTTCCATACCTATACATTAAGCTAAATTTGGGCTTGTTTTAGGTTTATTTAGGTTATTTGAGCATTTATTCAGGAATGCTCATGAATCCTCTAGAAATTTGGGATGTATTTTTCATGGCACAGGAGTCAGAGTTGTTGCTGGATTCTCTAAAGGGGTTCTCTAAGACCAGAGAGTAGCCATATAATTTTGATGAAAAATGTTTTCAAAATCCATTTAAAGGGACCCATATGCGTGTGTTTCTGAGAACCTCTTTACACTGTGTGTCAGGAAGAGGGCGTATCCTGGTCTTGGTGAGGACCTGAGCCTCTCTCTCCCTGGGCCAGGATGCTGCTGAGGAGTCCTGCGCACTGATCTGCCAGGTCTTCCAGATCATCTATGGAGACCAGAGCATTGAGTGCGTGGACCGGGCTGGCTACCACTACACGTCTACACCCGAACGGCCGTGGCTCTGCAGCCGCAGTAAGTAACCACTCCTGGCCTTCCGTCCTGTGGAATATCCTAAAAGGCCAGGGGAAGGGGATGCCCCAGGACTCGGGGCCAATGAAGGCCTTTAGGAGCCGTGATCTCTACCACAATTACAGTGGTAGGTTAAATAAAATGTTGATTTTCACAATGACCTCAAACTTAGCTTCTTCAAGGATGTCTGGGTTGCCAAATTTAGAATGAACCTCCTCGCAGCTGAACTCCTTCCCATTTGCTTTTATGTCCCTGCTTTGCAGAAACTGAGGCACATGCATTGTCTGCTCACTGTGCATCCACCCCACTAGGACCCTAGGTCAACACCAAGATTTCCAGATGGGTTCTTGAATGCAATCAAGAGCTAGAATGAGAATGAGACTAACAGAGGCATTTACTGAGCACCGATTGTATGCCAAACATAGTACCAATGTGCCATGTCTTAATCCTCACAGCAACCTGTTTGTCACTGTATCCCGTGCCTAGCTTGGGATTGGGTACATCACAAATGCTTGGGAAGTATTTTTGAATGGATGAAAGAACTCTCTGAGGCCTTATGATTCCAGTTTCACAGATGAGGATGTTAAGGCTCAGAGTAGTCAATAAATGCTCAAGGTCACATAGCGGGTGAGTGGCAGGGGCAGGATTCAAACCCAGGTCTGTCTGATTCTAAAGCTTCTCTCTGCAACAGCCCCACTCCCCATGCTGCCTTCAAGGCCAGTAGGTGCATTCCCTCAGCCACAGTCCCCTGCAACGCGGTCCCTGTGTGCCCGGCTGCAGCCACAGGGTGCTGGCTCTGTTTTTTCCGAAGGCCTGCCCGTCTGTGGGAACCGCTTGTTGGGAAGCTGGGATAGTTCACCGACTGTCACAAGGATGATGGGCAAATAAATGAGATAACTCAACAGATAGCTCAACAAATTCACTCACTCTATGAGTATTTATTGAGCACCTACTATGTGACATCCAGTATTAATCACCAGGATACACAGATGGGCAACACTAGACGTGGCCCTGCCATCACGAAGCGGGCATTGCCGAGGCCGGCTGACAGTGATTAATTAATGACACAAATAAACACGTAGCCACAGATTGTGCTGTGAGAACACACAATGAGGACCTGGCCTCACCTGGGAAGTCAGGGCCAGGAAGTGACACTGAGTGGGCCGAGATCAGAAGGCCGAGGCCACTACCTGAATGGATGAAATGTCAGGACTAGGAAGAGAGCATGTGCTCCGTCAGCAGTGCCTCTTTGCTGGAGGTTTTGAGACCCCCCTTCACAAAGTTCTTTTTTGTCTAGCCTCAAGCACACACAGTTTACAAAACACTCCTTCACCTGTTCCTTCACCTGCTATTCCCGAGGCCCCATGAGGTAGGGAGGAAGGCGGTATTGTCCCCACGCTGGGGAAGTTGAGGACCAGGAGCAGGGGGTGAGTTGCCCAAGGTCATCAGGGCAGACAGGACTAGACCCCAGGGCGAGGCTGAGGTTGGGGCCTCAGGGAGCCGGGGATGTTGGTCCCTGCTTCGCCACCTCTGACAGTCCCTCTGTCTGCTGGTCCCAGGTGAGAGCTGCCGCACGGACGGGACTTACGCCTATGACGCCGACTTCAGCTGCTGCAGCTCCTTGTGGGTACCGTCCTGAAGAGGGTGGGGTAGGAAAAGAGAAGCCTGGACCCCTAATGACCACGAAGCCCCGAACTCCTGCTCTATGTTATGTAAGAGATAAGGGAAGAGACTACAGGCGTGAGCCACTGTGCCCAGCCTCCAAGGTTGACTCTTTATTAGGCAGTGTTTATTGAGTACCTTCTATGTGCCAGGCACTGTGCCGTGTGCTGTGGGTGCAGCAGGAAACAAGACAGAGGACAAGACCCATACCTGGCACATAGTAGATGCTCAACAAATGAAGAAAACCAAGGTCCCTGGTCTTTCCAGGTTTACAGTCTAGCACAGGAGGCGATGAAATCATCATCTCATAGTCATAATCACTAATGTTAGTAAGCACTAAAGAGAAGCTCGGAGAGCTGGGAGAGAGGCTAACGGGGACCCCAGCTCATCTGCGGAGTCAGGTGGGCCTCTCAGAGGTGATGCGTGAACCGAGGCCTGGAGGATAAAAAGGGGAAGAGTAAACCAGGTAGAGGGAACAGCAAGTGCAGGAATTCAGAACAGGATAAAGCTTAATGGGCTTGAGGAGCAGCAGGAGGCCACTGTGCTGCAGCAGGGGGTCTGAGGGACAGGATGTTTGCTGGGGGAACTTGGAAAGACCTCGAGTGTCATAGACTACAGGCTGAGGGAGCACGTCTGACAAAGGGTCTAACCCAGCTGGGGGGGTCAGGGAACACTTTCCTGAGCAGATGATACTTAAAATTCAACAATGAGTGGGAGTTAGCCGAGCAAAAGGTAGGGGAGGAGAGGCACTCCAGGCCGAGGGAACAGCATGTGCAAAGGCCCAGAGGTGAGAAGGAGTATTGGAGGAAAGAGGAGAAGGCAGGTGGCTAGAGCATGGAGGGCAAGGGTGAGCGCAATGAGAGTCCAGGCTTGAGAGGTGGCAGGGGCCAGGTCACTGGGGGCCTTGGGGACCAAAATGGGGTCCAGGATGAGCCCCAGAGCATCAGTAGCTGTGCCCTCCCATCTCCAGCCTGCCCTGGGGAGAGGAGCTAGAGGGAGGTCGTGCAAGCCCCTTTCCCCTGTCCCTGCAGCAATGGCTCCCAGGACACTTTTGAAGCGTGTTATAGCGGCACGTCCACACCCTCTTTCCATGGCTCCCACTGCAGCAGCAGTGACCACAGTGGCCTGGGCCTCGAGCAGTTACAGGATTACATGGTCACGGTGAGCTGGGGCAGGCGGTGGGGACAGCACACGCACAGGCCTGGAGGCTGGAGGAAACACGGAGTGTTTCAGGGATTGTGCGTGGTCCTGACACAACCCAGGCAGAAGACCTCAGAGGTTGGGGCGGGGGATGAGGTTAGGAGAGTAAACTGAGGCCAGCCTGTGAAAGGCCCTAACTAATGTTAGCTTGCATTCATTGAGTGCTTGCTGTAAACCAGGCACTGTTCCAAACACCTTTCCTGCATCATTTCTTTTAATCCTTTCAACAGCCCCAAGAGGGAGCTGCCGTCATTATCCTCACTGTGCAGATGAGGAAAGCAAGGGTAGTAGAGGTTGTCACTTACCCAAGATCACAGAGCTGATTAGTGAGGGGCCAGGATTTGAACTGTGGCTGCTCGAGTCCACATCCCATTCTTAGGTGCAGCCCAAGGGGTCTAGATGTCCCAAGCAGGCCATGAGGGGCTTTCAGAGGAGGGTGGGGCCCCACATACCCTTAGAGAAGGCTCTGGGTCTGTTAGGCAGGGTGGGGGGGATTGCTCCCTGGGATTGATCTCAAGTGTTGTCCCCCCACAGCTGCGGAGTAAGCTGGGGCCCCCCGAGATCCAGCAGTTCGCGGTGCTGCTGCGAGAGTACCGGCTGGGGCTGCCAATCCAGGACTACTGCGCGGGCCTGCTGAAGCTCTACGGGGACCGGCGCAAGTTCCTGCTCCTGGGTGAGCCCCCGCCCACCCTGCGGTCCGCTGAGGCCCCTACTTGGTCCTCGCCATTCCCATTCCCGGTCAGGCACCAGGCTAGGAACATTTTCCTCTTCTCCTTCAGGCTCTGATAAGATGATGAGATCCATGGGGCAGATGAGGAGCCCAAGGTGCAGAGAGGGGAAATGACTTGTCACAGTGCCAGGAGACAGAGCTGATAAGAACAAAGCACTGATGTAGCCATTTCATTGTCACAGCTAAGCTGGGAGAGGGAGCGATTCTTCCCATTTTATCCCATGAGGCTCAGAGAGGCTAAGGAGGTTCTCTAAAGGTCACACAGCTAGTAAATAGGGCCAACAACAGTAATAATACTAACAACATGTATTTGGCAGTTACCCTGTGCCAAGCATCATCTCATTAAATGCCCCCAGCTCTGGGAAGTAGATGCTATAATTTGTTCCCATTTGGCAGTTAAGGAAACTGAGGCTCAGCATAGCAAAGTAGCGAAGTTACATGGCTAGTAAGGGATGGAAGTAAAAGCAAAGTAATGTTTATGGAACACATGGTGCATACTAAGTTCCTACGGGGAGAACAGGTACAATTATCTCAATTTTACAGGTGAGAAAAGGGAGGCTCAGAGTAGCTATTTAATGAAGGTGACAAAACTAATAAATGGGACTGTGACAATCATAATAATAGTAACAATAATGAGCTGGCGTGCAGCAAGCATTTACTATGTGCTGAGCGGTGTGTCATTATTTGCTGGCTCAGAGAGTTAAGGAACTTGGGCAAGGCCACAAGGCCGGCGCGTGGCAGAGCAGGGACTTGAACTCAGATCTCCGGAGAGGGCGACTCTCTGCCGGAGGGGAAGGGGCTGAACCTGGGGGGCATCGCCCCACCCCTCGCCCCGCAGGCATGCGGCCCTTCATCCCGGACCAGGACATCGGCTACTTCGAGGGCTTCCTGGAGGGCGTGGGCATCCGCGAGGGCGGCATCCTCACCGACAGCTTCGGCCGCATCAAGCGCAGCATGAGCTCCACGTCGGCGTCCGCCGTGCGCAGCTACGACGGCACCGCGCAGCGGCCCGAGGCGCAGACCTTCCACCGGCTGCTGGCAGACATCACGCACGACATAGAGGCGCTGGCCCCCGACGACGACGATGACGACAACGACAACGACAACGAGGGCGACGATGACGAGTCCCAGCGCTCCCGGGGAGCGGGTGACGCCGCTGAAGACAACTACCTGTAGCCGCCGCCCATCGGGGGGAGTGGAAGGGGGTGGCCCCGCAGCCCACCTCTGGCGCTCACTCTTACCTGTGGGACCCCTTCCGCAGGGCCCCTCCTGACACCCTGGCCGGGGTCTTCACTCCCGGGGTTGCTGTCCCTGCCTCCAGGCCCGGATCCGTGCAGTACCAAGGATGTCCTGCAGGGGGCGGGCGAAGCCGGCCCCTCGAGTCCGGGGCGGTCGCCCGGGGCTCAGCAGGGCCCTCTGCCAGCCCGGATTGGGCAGCGTCCCACTCCGTCCCACTAGCCCGGAGGGCTCGGGCCCAGGACCCACCCTCCTCCCCAAGGCTCCCTCGCCGCTTTCCGGAAGGGATGACGGGTGGGCTCCACCTGCTGGCCGACTGAGAAAAGAATTTCCAGAACCCAGAAGCGTCTGTTGGTCCTATTTTACAGAGCGGGAAACTGAGGTTCAAAAAGAGGGGAAGGGACTTGAGGGGATCCCCTGATTCTTGAGATAATTCTTATATTACCTCAAATAGACCGTACTAAACAGTGTAGAAGTTCTTTTTAAGGTCCCCTCTCCTGAGAGCAGGAGTTGCCTCCTCAGTGCAGAGAGAGGTTTCCATTCCCTGAGGTTTGACTCGGTGGGTGATCTGGCTCTCGTTTGGAGTCCTAAGGCCCTAAACAACTTGCTTGTTCAGGTCTTGGATCTGGAGCCCGATTTGGATTTGGGATCTTGGATTTGGAGCCAGACAGACTCAGGCTCTTATCTGGTTAGTGTCCTAGCCTCCCATTTCCTCATCCTCCCTGTGGGGTCAGCCCATCTACCTCCCAGGGTGGCCGTGGAGAGTAATGAAAGCCAAGACCTTAGTTTGGGGTTTAGCCCATGATAGGCACTCAATAAATGACATTCCTTGCCACTTCAAACACTTTCTGATCGGTTTTCCTGTCTTTCCTGGATGCGATGGGATGACAACTGGGGGTGGGGGGTGTTAAGAAGACCCTCATGCAGCTCAGTTCAGGAAGAAGATACAGGACTTGCCCTTTGAAGCTCAATTACAGTCTGGCTTTGTGTGCAAGGCCCAAATGAGAAATACCCAGGACTCCACAGCCATCTGTGGGTCTGGGGTAGTCAAATCTGACGGCAGGTTGGAGAGGTAGGGAGGTCAGGATCGGCACAGCACTGGACATCCTCTGAGTAAAGACTTGGCAGCTAAGAGGAACGAGGCTGGAGAGGAGGCCAGACACTCATGTAGAAGAGCTCAAATTTATGTACAAAACTGTGCAAAGCTTTCCACAGCCTGGTATATGGTACTTACCATGAGATAGGTACTGTTATCCATTTTCACGTAATACTATTAGGACTTCACATCCAGAGAGTTCCATGATTAATACTACGTTTGTGGCAAGTGATCATCCTATCATTATTGGTCTAGGCAAGGCCATTCTGATGTTTTGTTTTATTTTATTCTCCCCTCCCAATCCACACATTCCCCACATTTCTTCCCTCTCCCCACCCTGAGCACCCACCTGTACGTGCTGATGTGTATCCCTGGACATAAATACACAATGCTTTGTGTGGCTATTTACACCACATAAATGGTATTGTATGAGAATCTCATTTTAATGCTTCATTTTTTCTCTCCATACTGTTTTTAAGGTCTACCTGTGTTACTGTGGGAAAATCTAGCTATCTCATCCAGTTGCTGCAAAATATTGTGAGCTGAGCATCCACTGTTTTATTTATCCATCTCCCTAGAGATGGATACCCAGGTTGCTTCCAACTCCCTCTTACCACAAACAACACTGTGATGAATGTCTTTGTACATGATCCTTATGGGCCTATGTGAAAACTTCTCTGGGCTCTACACCCAAGAGTGGAATTACTAGATCACAGGGCATATATTCATATGTAGATTTCACTAAATTCTTCTAGAATAGCTCCACCTACAGGGTGTGAAAGGTACTGTCTCTCCACATCTTCATTAGGTTTTACACTGACTATAATTTTTGCCTATTCGTTTGTGTGTAAAGTGGCATCTCATTGTTGTTTTCGCTTGCATTTCTCTGTTAATCCTGAGATTTAGAACTTTCTCCTATACTTGTAAGGCATTTGGGCTTTTCCTTCTGTGATTGCTTGTTTGTATCTTTTGTTCACTTTTTCCTGGGTTTCCTCTTTTACTTGTGGCTTTGCAAGAGTAGATGGTAAATTTCAGATATTAAACCCTTTTAGATGTTGATGTTCCAAATATCCTCACCTAATGTGCTGCCCATCTAAGTTTATCTATGGCAATAGTTCTCACACTTCAGCATGCATCAGAATTTCCTGGAAAGCTGCCCCAAACACAGATATCTGAGCCCCACCCCTGAATTTCTGGCTCAATAGAGCAGGGGAAGAGTCCAAGAATTTGCATTTCTAACAAGTACCCAGGCAATGCTGACAGTCCAGGGACCACACTTTGAGAACAGCTGCTCCATGATGCTTTCTATTGAACAAATTTGTAATATGGAACAAATTCCTTAATTTTGATGTTATCAAATTCATTTATCATCATTTTGTGTTTGAAGGAACTGGAGCTCAAAGGTGAAGTGAATGGCCCAAGGTCACAAAGTGGGCTGGGATCTGGACTCACACCTGGCTAACCAGAGCCCATGCTCCTAGCCTCTCCACTTCCCTGACTCGAGCCTTTGGGTGTAGTGGCCATAGGCTGGGGCATTTGGACCTGAGGCTAGAAGGAGACTTAGAGAGTTCCTGAGTGAGGCAGTCATAGAAGGAGAAGTTGGTTGAGTAAGGACAAAGGCCAAAGACACAGGGGTCCCTCTTGAAGGCCTGGAGGCTTTGCAAGAGAGTCAAGCTCAGAAACTGCCCACAGTCCTAGCCAGGGTATGGTGTTGGGGCTGCTGAGAAGCACTGGGTTGGTTCTTACCCCATAGTTCCGGGGATGGGGCAATTTCCCTCACACCCCAAGGAAGTTCCCACCCACCCCAGAACTACCCTGTTACCAAAGCCATGTTACCTCTTCATTTCTGAGGTCCAAAGGGTCCTGGCTGGGGTAGCCAGACTCTGGCCACACTTCCTCCTGTAGCATCCAGAAACCCTGCCAGGGCCACTTCCTTTCATGGTTCAGTTCCTGGCATCGCAAGAAGGGAAAACCCTTGTGGGCGGGACTGCTGGTTCCCAAGGATTTCTAGGGGTAGTGCAAGTATGGAACTTCCCCACCAGCTGGGTCTCCTGGGGACAGTCCTGACCCAAAGACAAGAGGTGAAATTGCTAAATTGTCTCCAGTTACCCCTAGATGGACAACCCTCCCATTGTTAAGCCTTGCAACTTCCTACTTCTTCCCCACTTCTGGCTGGACACTCCTAGTAGTCCTTCCCAACTGTGTGTTGGGGAGAAGGAGTCCTGGGGCCACTGTCGTTCTGTCACCGAACATTTAGAGAGCATGCATTCTGCCAGGCATTGTGTGAGACGTGGGAGGAAGACGCAGCGCCATCTCTGCCCGCTGCGGGCACACGGTCTGGTTGGTGGGGAAGACAGGTCCCCAGATAATCATGGCACAAAGTTCACACTTCTATAATCAAAGGGTGAGATGCCAGCTCTTTCTGGGAAAGCTGCAAAAGGCTTCACAGAGGAAGTGACCCACGAGAAGGAGCTTAAAGGACAAACAGGGGTTTGGGTAGGTGGACGTGGAAAGGAGTGCCCCCCAGGTGGGGACCCAGCATGAGTGAAGGCAGGGGAGCTTGAATGAGCATGGCACACTCCAAAACTGGTAGCCAGTTAGGACTGGTGCAGTCCTCTGGTTGGGGTCCCCAACCAGAGGGTCAGACTGCACAGTGTTGAATCCCAACTCTGGCATCTGCTGGTTGGGTGACTTTGTCTAAATGTCTCTGGGTCTTGGCTTCCTTGTCTATAAAGTGGGGAGAATAATGGTATCACCCTCATAGATCTCATAGATTAAACAAGACAATCTATGCAAAAGTATACACAGCAAGTGTTCAATAAATGGGGCCATTCTTATTGCTGGAGAAACATGGAGTGTGTGAGGTGGTGGACAGGACTTGTAGGAGAAGAAACCAGAGAACTAGGTAGATCAGGAAGCCCTTGAAGGGCAGCTGGGAAGTGCAGGCACTGGAGAGCGATCTAAGGGACTCTTGTTTTCCTGGAGAGACTCCAGCTGCTGGGAGGAGGATGGATTGGGGAGCAGAGGAGAGTCTGGGAGGGGGATGGGGCAGAGGGCTGGAACGAGGACCAGATGAAAAATGCTAGGACCTGAGTCAGATGAGGTAAGAGGAAGGAAGAGGAGAGAGTAGATTCAAAGAGGAAGGGGGTAGAGAGAGAACTCCCTCCAGGTTCAGAAATAGCAGCTCTCACATCCTTTAACTAGACTCATTCATTCATTCCATAACTGTTTAGCCCTTAAACCCTCTTGGAGTTTACATTCTACGAGTCTATATAGCTATTAAATAATGCTACCTGGAGTTTACAGATGCAGTAACCACCCGGCCAGGCCTAGGTGACCAGAAATTGATGCCTTATTGGTGGGTCCTCCGACTTCTGACTTGTTGTTTACCTGTAGGTGTCTCAGATGAGGGGCAAAGGGGTCTTCAAGCCAGGCCAGCTTGTTTTGCTCACATCCTGCAATGGGAAGTTCACTGTCTCCTTGGCAGCCCCTTCCATCTAGTGCCAGAGCTAAGAACTGCCTCCCTGTCCTCCCCCTCCTGCCCCTCCCCCACCCCAGCTTCTAGCATCACCTTCTAGAGCCTTACATAGCAGAGCTGCTCCTTCAGCCCAAGGGCAGTCCTGCAGTGATGTGCAGAAAAGGATGTGACCTGCAGAAACTTCTCATTTTTATCTAAAAGCAACTTATTAAAAAAAAAATTATTTTTGAAGCTTATCATGCAGACAAGGGGATAGCGCCTTTGACGTGTAAAGCGGACCTACAGATAAGACCCACAGCCCAGTAGAAAACCAGGCACATCATTTACACAGCTAGAAAAGAAAATACAAATGATTCTAAAACTTGTGACTAATGTTCAACCTCACTCCTAATAAGAGAAATGCAAATTAACACTACACGGAGAAACCATTCTTCAATTACTAGATTGGCGAAATTTGGAAAGTTTGGTAACTTACCATGCAGGCGTAGGAAAGTGAGGAAACAGGACTCTCACACAGTCCAGGTGGGAGAGTGAGTTGGTATAAACCCTACAGAGCAATATCTACCAGTGTTTTAAATGCACGGACCCTTTGCTGCAACAACTCCACAGCCAAGAATTTCTCCCTCATTTATACCCACATAAGTGGAAATTAATATGAAAGGAATATGCAGCGTTGTCCTCTAAAGACAAGAGATTAGGAATAAACCAAATGTTCAGTGCTAGGGGACTGGTTGAATAAACTGTGGCTTGTGCAGACAATAGATTACCATGCAGCCATAAATAAGAACAAGGCAGCTCTCTGCATACTGGTATGGAATTGTTTCCAACATAGAGGAAGTGGGGGGAAAAAAGGCAAGGTGCATAACAATGCACTTTGAATAGTGCTGTCTTTTTGTTTAAAAAGGTTGGAAATGTCTTGTGTCTATGTGTGGAATTGTTCTGGAAGGATATACAAAACAAGTTATAGTTGTTGCCTCTGAGCTGGAGGGGTGTGCGTCTGTAGAATAAGGAGGGAAGGGGATTTTCTTTTCATGATGTGTCTTTTTTTTTTTTTTATTTCGGCATATTATGGGGGTACAGATTTTAAGGTTTCAATAAATGCCCATTTCCCCCCCCTATGATGTGTCTTAAGTTGTGCCACGAGTATGGATTACAGCAAAGCAATTTTTAAAAAACGCTATTCCAATATTACGGTATTTATTGAACTCTATCAACACCCTCTGTTTCCATAACTGACCTCCCCACTCCCACCCCCACCCCCAACACACACACACACACACACACACACACACACACACACACACACAGAGATCTTGAACAAAGAGGGCTGGTTCTGACTCTTTCCTAAGCTCCCTGGAGCCCAGCACAGCACCTGGCACAGAGCCTCCTGCCAACAGTTATGGGAGTGAATTATCCTGGAAACAGATCCTCCAGCCCCAGTCCAGACTTCAGATGATTGCAGCCCAGGCTGACATATTGACTGCAGCCTAGTGAGAGACGCCAAGCCAAAACCACCAGGTGAAGCTACTTCCAGATTTCTGAGCTACGGAAACTGCATGAGATAATAAATGTTTATGATGTTTTAAGTTGCTAAATTTGGGGTAATTTGTGGCCGATGCAGTGGCTCACACCTGTAATACTAGTTCTCTGGGAGGTGGAGGTGGGAGAATTCCTTGAAGTCAGGAGTTCAAGACCAACCTGAGCAACAGCAAGACCCTGTCTCTACTAAAAATAGAAAAAATTGTCCAGTGTTGGTGTTGCACACCTATAGTTCCAGCTACTTGGGAGGCTGAGGCAGGAGGAGCACTTGAGCCCAGGAGTTCAAGGCTAGCCTGGGCAACATAGTGAGACCCCATCTAAAAAAACATATACTGTAGGACAAGTGGGAACTTTCTGGAGTGATCAAAATGTATATCTCGATAGTATTAAG